GGTGGATGCCTCTTTATTCTTAAGCTTAACTTTAGTAGTTAATAAGTAGTATAATAGTATAGAGCTAGAGAAATAATTCATGTTAAAAGTAGGTTACCTTATAAGGGCCTTTTATAGTAGTTAGGCTACTAAGGTAATAAACGGCTGGCTAGGTGCCTGCTGTGACTGCTCTGTGCTATATATACTACTATTACGCCTTCGTTGATTGCTAGAACTGCTTTTAATGACCTAGTCTTTTGCCCTATAGTCTAATGGTATAGGCGTACGTTATAACTGACGTTAGTTAATACTACCCTATAGAGTTACTAGTGCTAATAGAAGAAGGTAGAAACTAATAAAAGTAGCTATATTAGTATTTATATAATAACTAACTAGCTAAATCTACTAAAGTAGATCTTTATATGAACCTAGAATTATCTAGAGTTTTTTCTAATTTATTATACTTATCTTTTTTTCTCTATAAATAAGCTATAATTCCTCCTAATTAGAAATAGAATAATAAGGTTAATAATATATTCTTTTTCTTCTATATCTTTTACCTACACCCTTACTTCTATATACCTATTAGTAATTACTATAATTTAGTATAACTATATATATTACTATATAATATAAGATTTAAGTAGAATTATTAAAAGTCTATAATATTAAATTCTATATATATATAGGTATTAGGTTTTTATAGTATTATTTTAGAATATTATCTCTTTAAAAGTATATATATATATTAGATAGTTTTCTTATCTTCTAATTAAAACTATAATATAATTAAACTATATTTACTAAAATAATATATAATAATATTATTATAGAAAGTATTAAAGAATTATAATATATTAATATATTATTAATAGCTAACTATAATTTATTTAATCCTCAATATAATAAAGTAATTTAGAAAGAAAGATAAATAAAAGAAAGTATTAAAGAATTATAATATATCAATATATTATTAATAGCTAACTATAATTTATTTAATACTTAATATAATAAAGTAATTTAGAAAAAAAGATAAATAAAAAAATAAAAGATTTATTTTATAAAAGCTATAGAGTATTATATTAGTTAGATTAAACAAGTATTATATATAACATAACGGTCTTATATATATAGTATCTACTACTATAGGCTTTTTACGGTTCTCCCTAAACATTATAGTAGTTAAAAGATATCGTCCCTCTAAGGGTATATATATATTTTATAAGAATATCGACTATTAATTATAACCTTAGTATAAAAGGGAATTGCTTATATCAAAAGCATACTATAATATTATCATCACGTAGAGACTTAAAGAATCGTAGTAGGTTATAATATCATCAAAGATAAACGTAGCGTAGCTAGGCTCCTAGTTATAAGGAAAATAGTAGAAATTAAGTATAATAAAGGTAAAAAAGTTGTTTTTAAATACTATAGGGGACTTAGCCCTTTTATCTAGGCTGGTAAGTAAGGTATACTAGACTAGTCGAATCCGACTAACATACTATCTCTATATACCTTAGTAAGATATTATA